TAGTAATAGTGCTAACGTATTATTAATTGTATATAATATGATCAATTTTATAAGAATAATAATGATAATGATATTACTGATAATAATAATAATAATAATAATAATAATAATAATAATAATAATAATAATGATGATGATAATAATAATAATAATGATAATGATGATAAAATAATGATAGTAATAATAATAATAATAATAATAATAATAACAATGATAGGCTTATAATAACAATAATAATAATACAGTCAGCAACATGTTCTCAGCGATGATGCAGAAAGCATTCCAGAGCGCGCTTGCTGGAGTTGAAGTATCATTGTTTTTACAGACCGGACGGTAAAGTCATAAACTCTCTAAGGCTGCAGGCAAAAACAAAAACTAGTACGACGCGTGTCTGTGAACTGCCGTTTGCCGATGATTGTGAATTGCTTGCTCTATCGCTGGAGAAGTATCCTCCTCGGAGATTGTATTTGTCATCGTCAGACATTGACGGACGAGCTATTATTATTATTACTAGTAAAAGTACCCGTTCTATGAACGGAATAATGATGAAGAAGTATTAGAAAATGTTAAGAAGAGGAAAAAGACTGAAAACAGGAAAGAAACAAAACATAAATATTTTACCTTGAATTTATCCATGTAGCACCTCTTGACTACCTCTAGGGGTAAGACTTCTTCCCCCTCTTCGAAGACGTGGTATTTTCTCCTAAAGTTCCAACTCAATCGCTTTAAAAAAAGAGTTAGGCCTACATGCCAATTGTTGCTTCCTAGAAGAACCTAATCTAGATTTTAGATCTAGCCTAGATCTCGAAGGATTATAAAGACCTAGGCCTATGATTGAAATAAGGAGCTTAGGCCCATAGAGAGATCTAAGTTTAGAAATTCACATTTTTAACGACAGGCGTCACAGATGGCCTAGATCTATTCACAGCAGGAAAAATCCACTTTCAAGAATACTTTCATGATTCTTGACCTCGATCTAGATTCACCGACAGCCTAGTTCTAGACTCTAGATCTATTCACAGCAGGAAAAAATCCACGTTCAATACTTTCACCATTCTTGATCTCCATCTAAGATTCACATATAGATGTAGCCTAGATCTAGATCTTAGAATCTATAATGCTCAGCAAGAAAAATTCACTTTCAATATTCAATAGGTTATCGAAATATCACATATCTATATTCTACTTTTATTTCATGATTCTTCTTGATCTTGATTTAGATCTAATCTAGATTCTAGATCTCATCTAGACACTGTGCACAAAATACATTTTGATCTGTCCTTCGGCGTGCACGCTAAATCCACTGCAGGAGAAATCTACGGTCAATACTTTCATGATCTTTAATTTTTTGTATCTTGATCTAGATTAGATATTAGATCTAGACATAAATCTAGATCTACTTACGAACGCATGGAACACAAATTAATATCCTTCGGCGCAGTTCGGCGTGCGTGCTAAATCCACTGCAGGAGAAATCTACTTTCAATACTTTCGTGACTTTTTATCTTGATCTAGATTTCTAGGTATTAGATCAAAACTTACACATACATACGACTACACGCAGAGCGTAAACCAGGCTACGATGGGCTGAACCTTTGACTGACGCATGAATACATTAAGTAGGCCTACGGTAGGCTACTCTTGGCGCTCTTGTTCTCCACTCCTCCTCCTCCTCCTCCTCCTCCTTTTCCTCCTCCTTTTCCACCTCCTCCTCTTCCTCCTCCTCCTCCTCCTC